CGTTGAGCATCGTATGTTGGACAGTCAACTCTTGAATAAATACCAAAGCATTTGAGTCTCTGTCAGTGCATGCAACAGGACAGTGAAGAAGAAGATGTGTTGAGTATAAACTGGGAAAAAACTCAGGGTCAAATAATTTGAGTCCATAATAAGAAGAGCAAATTGGCAAATCAACAAGCATGCGGCCACCTCTCTGCACTCTATGATAGTACCTCAGAGAGCAGGGTACGAGAACAAAAGAGGATGAGAAAAAAAAAAAAAAAAAAGATTAAGCATTTCTCTCCGGTTGCTCCCTGCAGACTGGGGCTACATTTTCAGTGAACATCAAGCCTGGCAATTGGCAGTTTGTCTCCAACCTCCAAGGAAGGATTTCATTGGCTGCAGAGGGCATGAGAGACTGCTCTCCATTTTCCTATTTACAGTACGTGAGCGTTGCGGGTAAAAGAGCAAGGGAGGAAAATCGCAGCAGATTACTGTGCCAATTTCACATGGAAGCAAAAGAGCTCTGGAAAGGATAGATAAGGAAATTCCTATCAAACCGCTGCCAGCCAAATATGTATCCAGTGGCAAAAAAAAAAAAAAAAAAAACACACACAAACATTTTATAATAAACCCCGAATAGTGATGGAGGAGGTTTCACCCTACAGCGTTGAGATGGTATTTTTAGCCCAGCTTGTGATAATTACCATCTATTTGCCATGTTGTGAATTGAAAGGCGCCATTAGAAATGCCACCATCAGAGCTGTATAAACACAAACACATGCACACATACACAGGTGGAAGTGTAGAGCGCCCACAAACATGTACCTGCGTATTAATATTCATGCCTAGAAACAAGCAACCAAAATGTGAAAGCCATTTGAGATGTCAACAAAAAAAAAAAAGCTGGAATATTTCAATTAATTTTCAGGTAATCCAAAACACAATGAGAACAGAAAAAATTATTTGCCAAGAGGTAAAGCAAAACCTGCTCAACTACGGATAAATACCAAGTCATATGACAAATACTTCTGAGTGGAAAAAAAAGGTAATCACACATGGAAGTATCCACATCCCAATCCAGGTGGTGGTAATGCTCGTCTGCTGAGCCCTTTTAAACAACCAATGAAGAAGAAGAAGAAGAGCAGACACAACAAAACACCCACAGAAGAAGTGCTATACACAGTAGCAAGATGACACAGTGTAGCTACAACACCCATCTGCTTTTTTTTTTTTTAAATCAGTTGTGTGGGGACACTTCGGGTTCAAAGTGTAGTATGTCTGTTGAAACACATCGAACATGCTCATGACTGTTCGACGTCATCACCCAGATGTGCCAATCCACAAAGCTAGGCGAAAGACTACAAGTATCTAAGAACTTAACCCTGCCTCTGGATGTGAATGCACAGACGGTCATGGACATCAATGAATCGAAAACATTTTTGAAGGCGATGTTGGCATATGCAGTAGTAGACGACCCCGGCTTCAAGTGTGTAATAAAGTGTCCAAGCTGCAACAGCTCCACCCACTGCCACTGACAACAGATGGAGGGACCTCCCATGACACTTGAAGCCAGGGGATCACACACTTCATAAATTATAAATATAATGCAATGCTCCTAAACACATTGTACTCTATTTTGTCTTGTATTTTACATAGTATGTATTTTATATTTTCAAATGAGGAGATATTTATTATTTCCTTGTTGCTTTTTATTTTTCATCATTTTGTTTTATTTTCCTCTCTTTTTTTGTCCAATGTTTATTAAAAGCTGCACCAACATTCAAAGGAGGTTCTCAACCACATTAGATTGGAGCAAACTGTAACTTGCACTACATTCAGTTAGAAATCAATGAGAGAAACTTAGAAATACACATCCGGGACTTTGGTTGCTTTTTACCAAAACGTGACGCTAAAACCGAGGTATGAACCAAATGGTATCCTCTGTGAACTTTACACCCCTAAAAAGATTTAAGTAGCCCTGGTATTGGAAGGGTACACAGTACACGGCAGCCAATACTCCACTACAGAATTGAATAGGTATGGAGAAGAGGGAAAAAAGGTATCACAACAGCCTTTGCTGCAGATCTAAAGCACTGTAAAGAGAGAAAAAAAACTCTCTCGTAAATCTGTGATTAAAGAGATGCTATTATGAATCCATGCTAACAAGCATCTGGTTAATTCATGATACTTTAATTTGCTCCTCTTTTTTCCTTCTCACCTTCCATATTCTCCTTCCTCTCTTGTGCCTATGTTGTTTGGCATAATAGCAACTAGCATTGTGAAACAGCATGATAAAATAAGCATAATCTACTAGTAGGTTCTCACTCTTTCCTAAACATCTTGAAACTCTCTTACACTATATACATATACGTATATATACCGTATGCTCTCTATCAGTCATCATCAGCTCGCTCTGTACTGTAGCTGTGTCATTAAAGCTGAAACAAAAGGACTCTGACTTCACTGGGTTCATCTCATCGCGGCCAAGTAATTACTGGCATAAAGCACCGCTGCGAGCCCACACAGTGTTGCTGCCCCTCCAGCAGCATATGAAAACAGCACAAACACACACAGACGAGTGTCCACAAGTGACACATCGATGCAGAAACACAAACGTCTGTCCACAAAATCATTCAAAATTGTTGTTGTATACTTGGCAAGTAGGAAGGCAGATTTATTAATATGCAAACTAGAGGAATTTTCCAATGAAATACGACACTTTCTTTGTAGCCTATCTGTTAGTATCTGTTGCTCCAGCAGTGTCCTTGGTGTATTTTGTTTTACACTGGGAAGTCGTACTTTCAGTGCAGAGTAGTGAGTGTTGACAGGCTACCTCTATGATTCATATGGGCTTAAACGGTATGTAAAGTATGAAAGCTTACCTTTCAAACATCAAACAAAACTTCAGTTGAACTAAATCTCCTCTAGTGATTACTCTATCACTTAATGTGCTGAAGTTTTAGCAAATATAGACACAGAATATTGTTTTTTGGACAGATTTTTTTGCTTCACTTAGTTCACTTTTTGTTCTGACCACCAACAGTTAAAGTTTTCTACACAAATATAAAACAAAAATGCATTAGCTGATCCGAAATGACCTACATACTGTATATTATTCTCGCTACATTTAAAACATTAAGGAGTTTCAAGGTGAACTATTCCTAAAGTTGCAGAGTGTGAGAATAATCAGACGGACCATTGGGGGAAAAAAGGTTACTATGAGAGGAAGATTCAAGGCTGGACAGCAGTCAGTGGTTGAATTTAGTAATTGATCCTCCTTAATGGCCCATGACAGCAGAAAACCTCAGGACATTCACTGTAATGCCTTAAAAAGCTGACAGAGTAAACACACACTCGTCGCCAAAGGCAGAGACACAGGTACACACGCACACACACACACACACGCACACACACACACGCATGCACGCACGCACGCACGCACGCACACACACACACACACACACACACACACACACACACACACACACACAGACTTTATAAGTAGTTTAGCAGAAAATACTTCCAAGTCGGCTTAGTATCATATTTCCGCTTTAAAAACTCAACTTACTGTTGCTGCTCCTCCTACTTTCATAAACTCTGTTCTGAGATGAGCATGATGTGCAGCACACTCAAGGGAAACATCACAAGTGCACAATCTCTTTCTTTCTCTCTCTCTATCCATACACACACATACACGTACACATACACGTACACACACACACACTCATACATACATACAGACTGTATAAAGCTGCACTCTAAAAATTAAAGCTGCTCAAATGGATTTGAGGCAGAACCAGTGAGCAGAGGCTGGGTTTGGGGGTGTGTATGCAGATATGATAAGCTGAATGCATTTCCCAAAGTCTGCAGAAGTGACGGTGAGGGCTCACAGAAAAACAGTTTAAGATGTGTTTACTTTTTGAGGAGGAATTTGACGGCGATATCATACCCTAAATAATTTACGTTTAGATTTCTCAAACGTTGATGTTTTAAGTTAAACCGAGTGAATGAAAGGGTTAAGTTTGATAAAAATAGAGCAAAAACAACCATGTCTTCTAAAGGTTATAGATTGAAAAGTTTATGCGTAACACTGTCTCCCACAATCGAATAAACAACACATGTATGGTTTCCTTGTTGCACAACTGAAGGCCAAAAAGTCATATGATGATCAAAATTTGCTACTATACAGACAGTTACGTCTATCACTTAGTTACTCAGGGTACCAATTACAGGCCTACATTAATTACAAAACCATGAACAAAATGTTCATCAAAACATATTTGAACTCTTACCATTTAACATGAATTCGGGTTCAGTGTAAAGGTTTTGCATCATTTCATGATTGAGCTTATTTCTAAACATTTTGTAAACATTTTCAACACAGCAAAAAAACAGTTAAATCAAAGCTTAGTGAAAAACTTGAAGGTAGAAAAAATGTCTTGAATTTCAAAACCTTTTTTTTTTTCTGAGACACAACAAATACAACATTCATTTAATTACTGTAAACAGCTGTCGTCGGGATCGATGCAAAACTATTCACCTTATCGATGTACTTGAACCAGGTAAAATCCAGCATCCTCACAGTTTGCGACACGCTAATAGCTAATTCTGCTCTGAGCAGGCAATGACTTTGTGTTAAGGGGGAGTCTTGCTCTTTACCAAAAAATAATAATTAAAAAAGGGTTCAAATAACTTTTTTGTATTCATGTTTGCCCAGTGGGACTGTAAATATACATGTGAGTACGGCAGAAGCAGACAGAGACAAAAAGAAAAGAGACACATTTTAAAATATTGTGAAACCTACTGTACTAAAACAGACAACAGAACAAGATTCCTGCCTTTTCTCCTCTGTCTCTCTTCTGTTGTCTTTGGGAGGTCCTATCTCCGAAACACTGGCGCAAATTCTTTTCAGCAGGATTGAAATAATGGTGTTACAGGAACAGGGAATGAGCGTGTCGATCGTGATCATGCTGTGTGCTCAGAAACGATACAGTGTAGACAGGACATGTGTAATGTACCTGCAGGTCTGGATCCTCCTCGTGCTGTAGGTGGGCTTCCTCTGCTGCCTCCACCAGCCTCTGGAGGAGGGTAGGAAGGGGAGAGAGGGGAGAAGGACAGAGAGGAGGAGAAAAAAAAATAGTTTGAGCACCAAATTGAATTGAGTAGTGGATGAAAATAATAGGCAGAAAACCGGATATACAGTGAGCAGCTTTACAACTGGCTTTAGAATTCCCCCTTAGAGCAACTCTACAACCCTCCATGGTACACACACACACACACACACACACACACACGCGCGCACACACTCACACACACACACTCGCACACACACACACACACACACACGCACAAGCAGAAACAGCGGACAGACATGTGGCCATTTATTAAAAGAGGCTGTTTTCCTAAATGGTTCAGCAACAGAGGTAATGATTGCCTCAGGTTCTTTGGACACGACCACAAAAAACTCCATCATCACTCCATACTGTTTTACACATGCACACTCTTACTGACACAGACACACAAACTCACACAATACACACCACTGTCATCTCCCTCTTGGTGATACTGTCTGCTATGTGTGCCTGTAGGCTGATGCAGGGATCGGTCTGCCTTTGGGTCACCGTCACACTCTCCCTCTCTCTCTCTCTTTCTTCATTTCTCTCAACCTCTCTCATTTTTAATAACAGCTTTATTTCTAAAGAAGACAACATGTAAGATGACAGATAATCATTGAAAAATACAAGTTTCAGAGTCCCTTTATAAGTATTAATGACTTGCATAAGTGGACTGTAAGGGCTTTAAATTGATTAGTCGTTTCTTAATCAATCTGTCATGCTTTTATATGTTGTTATAACTGTGAGTCATTTGTGTTTCTTGTAATGTGTGTGTTTATATTAATGTTATTATTATTAGAATATTCTGCCTCGGTGGGGTTTGCTGTTGTTTTTTTTTCAGTTGAGCCTGTACCGCTTTTTGTGCTTTGAACTGACGTTGTGCGCCTGTTGCTGATTGGCGGGAGCTGGTGCTGCCTGTCTGAGCGTGATTGGATGAGCTGATGGAGCAAAACGGAGCAGCAAACTGATACACCGCCATCTTCCTCCTCACTTCGCAGTGAGAGCTTGTGTATCGTCAGGCAAATAATTGTTTTGAGATTATGTGTATCGTTGTAAATATTGTAAATAATTCTGATTTCTTTTTTTCTATATTTAGAGGTAAGTCAGTACGGATTTTTGATGATGTTTTGTTGATTATTTTCGGTGTGGGCTCTCGCTGAAGTTTGAATTATTTTGTGTTAAGTGGCAAATCAATTCATCATTGTGGACTGCAGATTTGGTAACATTGCACCAACATACAGTGCATATATACATACATAGTTTATATATATCAAACATTGAACAGAGTCAATATTGCAGCTTGTTCAGGTTATTACGGCGGAAGGAAAAAAGCTCCTGCTAAATTGAGCTCTTTTGTATATGCAACCAGAAAGAAGTACTGTAAGCTAACTGAGTGGATGATGAATGTCATTTGCCAACACAGGTGAAAGGTTCGTCATTGCTTTGTTGAAAACTGAAAGACTAGGGGGAAATATGTAGATGACTGTCGGCAGGTTTGGGTGACACCATGTATGGGTATATGAAGTACTATATGTGAAGAGTCAAAACAATCAGCATAAAGTGAAAAAGATTTTTAAAGGAAAGGGGCCAAGGACCCCGCCCTGATGGTCTCCAGTACTGGTGATAACGGTTTAAGATGCTACTGTGCCAACTCCTACTGCCTGTGGTCTGTCACAGAGGAAACTGGGAATGATGCTCAATAAATTCCTAAGTCTAAAAGTAATAATGATTAGGAGCTTGGAGGAGAAGCTTTCAAATGGGTTAAAGTTGAAGGAAGGTAAAAAAAAAGGTTTTTCGGGCGCTGAGTAACAACTTGAATCTCAGGAATTACTCACACAAACACACACACACATACACACAAGCACTTCCTCCCACTTCTAGCTGCGATGCATACGATATGTTATCATAGCAAGTCATCTCTCTCATTCGCAGCTGGTCCTGGGGGCTATATGTTTTGGTAATGCACTTCCATTTCACATTTCCATTCAAATGGCTTCACCCGTAAAACTACTGCAATCAGCCAGCTTATTTCAGCTGAGCCATGTGTGAGGCTGTGTGTGTGTGTGTGTGTGTGTGTGTGTGTGTGTGCTGCTGTGTGTGTGCTGCTGTGTGTGCAGGAGGGCTGTTTTGGGAAGTGAACACTGTAATCTAGAGCCCAGCCAATCATTTTCTTCACCATAGCAACACAGCTGGCCACTGCGTATGGTTGCATATCAATTTTGATAGCTTGATTCCATTTGACTATCGATTGATGCGTACATTTTCCCTGTGTCTTCTCTGGCCTGGACTTATTCAGTTCTTTAATTTAAAACCAAATAAGCAACCTTCATGCCTATATAGGAGCATGTGTGCTGATCCATGTGGCCGGCTCAGGGTGTTGAGAGGCACACAAAAATCTGCTGTAAGCATGCTACAAACAAAGATAAGGAGGAAGGTGGAATAAAAGAAGGATAAGAGGGGAAAGAAAGAATAACACTCTAAAGGTCTGAACGCTTAGCCTCACATCCCCACGAAAATGTCAGACGCTTCCTGTGAAGCATGTGTCCATAGAAACACACTTCCAGCTTTTGTTGGTGGTCGATGGTGTGTGAATCTGTGTGTGCATGCTGGGACGTTAATGGTTCTCTCTGCCAACACGTGTTAAGATATTAGCCCTTTGACCTATTCAGTCTTGTCAGGACTTTTTCAAATGTCAATCATTGAACGGGAGAGTACGCAGGTATGTCAATGTGTGCTTGGTGAAATCTGTAATCTGACATTTAATTTGAGAGCAAGCATTACATCAAACATTGGAAACAATAATGCTATATCTACTGCACTCATTTTGAAGGAGGAAAGGAGTCGAAGCTCAAGGTAAAAAAAATACTGTGCATATAGTAGAGGGCTGTTTTTCAATCAGGAAAACAGATTAGTGATAAGTAGGTGCATCTCACTGCTGTGAATTTCAATAACAGCATATTATTAGAATGAACACTCTAGTCGTTGGATTTTTTGTGCTGTTGTTGTGGTGCTGGAAAAGGTATGAGAATGTATGCAACACCAATCAGTAAGTGTTACTGTCTAGCATTAAATTCAAATGAGCTGCCACTTCTTTTTGTCAGTAGGTGGTCCTGCAAGTGTGTATGATGCTGTTTTAAAAGGGGGAGGAAATTACTTTTTTTTTTCCAAAGACACTGTCAAGGCCCGGGCTCGGTATGAGATGACAGCAATAATTAAACTGACACAGTCAGAGAGGCAGGCCCTGTTGTCTCCCTGAAAACACACGCTCACAGACAAACGTGGACATTCACGAGCCTTCACTGTGTCTGACAGTTTAAAAGCTGAGCACACAGAGTTAACAAGACTGGCTGTGGTGACTGGATTAGATGTGTTAGCCCTTGAAGAAGAGTCTGATTACAGATCCCTGGTGTGTTTCTGCTGGTCTCTGTCATCACTACAAATGCTTTGATTCTCAGTAAAAACCTGATTTAGTAAGATACTGGTCTGCTCCAAATCAGCCTTTAATTCCCCTAAGCTCATTTGATTTGTCAATTTGTGCTAACCTGCATCGAACAAAAGGAAATCTGGTGTTGGGCTACATAGTTCACATCTAGCCACTGTCTATGATATTTTTGTATTATGTCCAAGATATTTATAAACTGTATACTTCTATTTGGAAGCTGTCAGTTTGGCTGCGATGATTCATATTCACACACAAAAATGACACTTGCGAAGAAGAAATTGGAGTCCAGAGATAGAAATCATCAATCGTCTGTTACAATTTGAAAACCGATTTTAAAAGACAAACTTGGTTAGGATTTTATTTGAATATGTCAGTACCATAAGAAGAAGGTCTTTTACATCTCAAATCAATAAATGAGCTTTTCATTAAAGGAATGATCTTAACTTCATAAGATATTGATGTCAGCATTGCTTAAACATGTGTGTGTTTTACACATGCACTCAATGGCTTGCTTGTCCCTCAATCAACTTAATTTCTATTTCATAATTTATCAGCCGCCCCCTTCCTCCCGCCCAATCCATTTCTCTGCTATTTCCACTCACCTACCCCCTTTCATTATCCCACATCCCGTTATTATGATTTTCCTGACAAACGCGTCGGCTTGTTTACACTCTCAAAAGTTCATAAACGATCCCCCTCATTTGGCTGTCAGCTTGATTGGCCTATTGTTCTTGCGTGGTATACATGCTGTGTGGTGGGTTCAGGACTGGTTGGAGCCCCTGACCTTAACAAATGCCTATTCATTATGATGGCAGCAGTAAAGCTGTGATGGTTAGCCAGAGCTGTCATATATAACGGAGTAATGCTAACGACTGCTGTCAGAGCAGCAGGGGAGGGGTGGATGCAGGGTCACATGCATTATTGACTGCAAGCGGAAGTCTTGGATTCTTTTTTAGCAGTACATTAAGGCTTGCCTCGGCACATTCCCTCTACCGGGGGGAGGTGAAGGCAGTGGCCTGAATCTAAATGTTCTCCCAAGTTACCAAAGAATAAGTCCACAGATCTAAATAGACTCTCTAAAAGAAATTTCCCAAAGGTGCTGTCTACTGTTGGTTCATTGTCCATTATTACTTTGGGTTTGAATTTGAACATAACTTTTTTTTATCCATATTATCTTTTTTTAGGATTTGTTAAGGACAGCCTTGTAAAAATAAAAGACTTATGTCGTAAGCTTGTTTCTACTCAGCCTGTGTATTGCTGTTCCTGAGTCTTAAAGAGGAAATGCGAACAAAGCTTTGGCCTACTGGATCAGGGCAGGTCCTGCGGGTGTTGGTTCTGCCAGAGGCCGGATCCATTGAGGCCAGATCTGGGCTGAGCTGGATTGACTCGGGTCAGCCCATCAATAGCACTAGGGGACAGCAATTAATATTGTCAAAGCAGCCAGGGAAGACTTGCAGCATCAACAAAATGTAAAAGTGCACTGTGACACTTTGCTTCCTCTTATGCACATTTAGATTGGGCC